ATTTTTTCTTTTCCCTTCTTTCCTTTCCCCTACCCCTCCCACTTGCCCTACTCCTTCAGACCTTTTCTTCCTATTTCACATTATCAATTATACATTTTGATCCTTATTTACACTTTCAGTTTCTCACACTGCAGAAACTATTCAGTATTTACACGTGTCCTATTTATCTCACTTAAAAGAGTATGGGCTCCTGACCTTCATTTTCTCCCTCACACACTCTTACTACATCTTAAAGGCTGGCTCACATATCTGTGATTCCATTGCATCTGCTCTTTCCAAGGCCACTGGTGAGAACTCCCAATTTAATCTGCTTTTCTGTTTTTATCCTTCTTTAAACTGTATGCTGCATTTGTGCTCTACACCTCATTTCTCTCATCTCCAACCACTTTATGTTCTTCTGATTTCCTGATTCCCATCCTGCTTTCATTTATGACGAAGCATTCGTTTTTCTCTCGCATCTTCATCTTCTTCTTGAGCATGGTCTTCAGACTACTTCTCTTCAACTTCTCTCCCATAAAGAGCTAACTGACCCCAAGATAGAGAGGAATGCAGGTAATTACCAATTTTAGATGTCCAGTTTCCCTGTTAATTTTTTTGTCCCACATTGCATCATGATTATCCCATAAAATAAGGATTTACTGAGAGGAGGGAGGGAGAAAGGAAGAAAGGGACAAGAAAAAAAGTGAAAACAGAAAAAACAGAAACAGCTTTTGTGCATGGGGAGGGGAGGGGACTTGAGGGGGGATGGGATAAAATTAAAAAATGAGAATTTATTGGGTACTAAGACATGTCAGGGCATTGGTGGTATAGTGGTGAGCATAGCTGCCTTCCTAAGACATGTCAGGCATTACATTCAGTGAGTTTACAAATATCATTAATAAGGTTATAAAGTAGGTATCAACATTCCTCTTTCAAAGGTAAGGAAACAGGCTTCAGATGGTCAAAGGAATGTCTTAGGGTTACCCTATCCAGTGACTGAGATGCTGGACTTCCAAGTCAGGTGACTGTTAACACTGACTAGATACCATATACTATAATATCTTGCTTTCCATGTCCCAGCTAAAATTTCAATTTCAGATTCAACTCAGACTCTTCTTTTGTCTTCCATATCCAAATAGTATTTTCTTCCCCTTCACCATATCTCTGGAGCTTTTCCATGGTCTTTACCCTGGACTGGGAATTAGTGACTTTAGTCAGTGTTCTACCACAACACAGCTGTATAATAGGGGATCCCTCATGTTACCTCTCTTGGCCTATCCATATCCATGTTGCGAGGGAAGATGATTAGGTGATTTCTAAGGTCTCTTCCTGATTACAGTCTGATACTAGTCTAGGTTTTTGTTAAAATAACAGACTTCTCAACTCTTTCTGCAGCTGAGAATGCACATCTCATCACTGTATCTTCAACATTTTGGCTCACTTTCCCATCCCTTCCAATTGCTGCTCCACTTTTCTTCCACTTTGCAGTAGCTTCTTAGAAGAGTTGTATCCATTTTCTTCTAAATTCCTTTTCTTTTTAAAATTGTGGGTTTCTTTCATTCTGTTTTTATTTTAATGTATGTATTTTATATACTCTTTTACATGTATGAATATTTGGGTGAAATGAGCACACAGCTTAGAAACAGAACATTACTTGTCTCTGAAGCTTCCTGTTACTCCTCTACTCTCCAACAGAGGGCGATGATCATTTGGAATTTCGTACTGAGTGTTCCCCTGCTTAACAGTACAGTTTCACTACACATATATCCAACCCTAAAACACAGTGTTAGGTTCATCTATGTCTTTGAACATTATGTAAAACCTTATATTCAACTTGTTGTTTCATTCAATATGTTTTTAACTTTCATTTTCAATGTTATGGTTTCCTATCGATGGACATTTAGATTGTTTTTAGTTTTTGCTATCACAAAAAGATGCCACTATGAACATTATTGTACTTATTTCCTAGTGACCATGTACAATGGATTCTCTAGGGTATACAGCTAATATCTGAGTTGCTAGATTATAGGATACCTACACCTTTATTTTTTTGGCAGTAGGGATCGAACTTGGGACCTTGCACTTGCAAAGCAGGCAGCAGAACCACTGAGCTAAATCCCAGCCCCCACCTTTAACTTTACTAGGTAATGCCAACTTGTTTTTCCAAGGTGACCGAATGAATTTACATGTCTTCATCACTACTTGAGATTGGCAAATTTATTTCTGCCAATATGATAGGTATAAAAATGGTACTGCATTTTTATGAGGTTTTATATCTTTTCATATGTTGCTGCACTTTGCATGTTTCCTCTTTTTTTTTTTTTGTACTGGGAATTGAACCCAGGGCCTTGTGCATGCTAAACACATGGTCTTCCAAAGAGCTGTATCTACAGGCCCGTTTCTCCTTCTAGGCTTGTTTGTTCATATCTTCGTCTCACTTTTTATAGGGTTGTTCATCTTTTCATTGATTTTTAGTTTTTTTAAGGAGAGATTTAATTTAGCTCACATAATTTATAGTTTTTTAAAAATTAATTTTATTGGTACATTTTAGGCATACAATATAATGACATTCATCATTGGAAATTCGCACCTTTACATAATCTCTCTTGGTTCTTATTTTTTCCCCATTCCCCTGCCCCCATGAGAAAATGAAAAAATGGAAACAAAGTCTTTGTAAATAGGGAGGGATGGATGGGTTGAAAGGAGGGCAGGGGATTTGTAGTTTTAAAAACAAATTCTAGCCTAGCATGGTGGGTGGTGCACACCTATAATCCCAGCACTCAGGCAGCTGAGGCAAAAAGATCATCATGAGTTCAAGGTCAGCCTAGGCTACACAGTAAATTCAAGGCCAGCCTGGAATACATAGCAAGACCTTGCCTCAGAAAAAAGAAATAAATTCTAAACATTTCCTTTGTTAGTTGTATTTGTTGAGAATGTCCTCACCTACTTCATAGTTTTTGTTTGTTTGTTTGTTTAGTTTCTTCTCCATGGTGTCCCTTAATGAAAACAAATTTTAAAGATATAACATAGTCTTGGAGGGCTGAGACAGGAGGATTTTGAGTTCAAGGCTAGCCCAGCCTATAGATGAGCTCAAGGCTGGCTTGAGCTATATAGTGAGACCCTGTCTCAAACAAAACAAAACAAAACAAAACAAGATTTAACATAATCAAATTAATTGATCTTTTCTTTTACAGCCTGTGCTCTTGTGCTGTATTTTTAAGAGCGGTCATTGTTTTAAGTACATAAAACATTATTCTATTTTTTAAAAAATCTTAACAGTGAAATATTTAAATTAGCTGGAATTGATTTTAGGTATAGTGTGATGTGTAGATTTATATTAATTTCTTTTCAAATGGAAGGCCAACTGCCTCACTGTCATTTATTGAATGTGTCATCCTTTTTCCGCTGATAAACAATGCCAACACAAACCCATGTTAAGTTTCCTTTTGCATGTGCATTCTATTTTTTCCACTGTTCCATTTATTTCGGCACCAAAGCCAAACTATCTTTTTTGTGTGTGTGTGTGCCGGGGATCAAACTCGGGACCTTGCGTTTGCGAGGCAGGCACCGGAACCACTGAGCTAAACCCCCGGGCCAAAGCCAAACTATCTTAATTACTATAACTTTATCATAAATCTTGATGTGTAGTGGCACAAACACTTCAGTTTATTTATTTTCAAGGATGTCTTAGCTATTCTTGGCTAAGAATGGTTATATTTCTACTTAAAATTTATAATCAGCTGCATGGTATTCCAATTGCTGGTTTTTTCTGTTTTGTTTTGTTTTTTGGAGATAGAGTCTTTCTATGTCAGGCTGATCTTGAGCTCATTATGCAGCCCAGGCTGGCCTCAAACTCAAGCTGATTCTCGTTCCTCAGCCTCCCAGGTACTGGGATTATAGGTGTGCGCCACTATGCCTGGCTCTCCAATTGTCTCTCTCTTTTTTTTTTTGCAGGCAGCGGCACCACTGAGGTAAATCCCCGCCCTCCAATTGTCTCTTGAATCCTCTACAATCTCATGGTCTTCTTACCATTCCACCATATCTGCTATTGTCAGAGCCTCCAAACCCTTCCTACTGTCAAATTTACTGATCAATTTTCAGTCCTCATTTTACTTGACCTCTTTACAATTTTGGGCATGGTTGTTTACTCTTTCTTTCATGGAATATTTTCACTCAGCTTCTGTGATATTGCACCTTGGGTTTTTTTTTAATGTCTCTTCCCCATACTGCTCTGTTTTTACATTCTCTGCCCTCAACCTCTCCTGATTTTTCTCTAGGTGCTTCTTAGTCCTTTGCTAGATCCTTCTCTTTTTCCCAACCTCCATATGTTGGAAATCTATCCATAGCATCCTGAACCAACCCAGGGCCCAATCCTTAAATCTTTGTTATTCTCTGCCTGTATCTTCTGTCAAGTCATCCCATCTGGTCCCACAACTTTAAAACAGCGACTTCTAAATGTGTATCACTGGCTCAAATCTTTCCTCTGAATCCGAAATGCACACATATAAATGTCTACTTAACATCTCTAGTTGGATGTCTGCAAAGTATTGGATGTCCAAGTAGTATGTCAAACTTAATGGCCAAAACTAAACTTTGTATTACTCCTCTAAATCTGCTCCTTCCCAATTGTTCCGCATCATAAATAGCCTTAGTTTTCTCATCTGTGGAGATTAAATAACAATACCTGCTTCAAAGGATATTATAAAGATGAAATAAAATGTACGCTAAATGTTTAACATAATGCCCGCCACAGAGTATGTGCCCAGTAAACATTATTGGGCCATTTATTCAACAAATACTTATTAAGTAGCTAATAAAAACTACTTAAAATGCAAGAGGCAAAGAGAAAAATGAAGCCACTGTTCTCATGGAACTTACACTCTAGTACAACCGATGGTGATGTGAGCCATGGGGAAAGTGAAGCTTAGGAGAGGAGGTTGGCATGTGCTAGGAGAATGGGTGCAATTTTAAACAGAGCACTCAGGAGGAACTCAGTGAGGAAATGACGTGAGCATGTGCCTATAAGAAGAAAGGACAGAAGTCAGGTGAATATCTGGGGAAACAGCATTCTATAAATGCAATGCAAAGGCCCTGAAATAGAAGAGACCCTGGTAAGGAAACTGGATTACTTGTATAAGGATTTTAAGATACAGGAAATATAATACTACTTTTGTACATCCTTAAGCACAGTGCTGGGCATTAAATATGTATTCACTGTTTTAAAATTAAATCCTTGGACCACTTGTTTCATACCTTGTGAAAGAATCTTCTCCTGAGATAAGATTTCATTTCGTTCTTCTAAAATCTGTATCAAGGCAGCTTGAAGTTTAGGTGGTAGAATTTCATTCTCATCAGACACCTTGAAGGGAAAAAATGAAATTTTGTACGAACTCTGTCGGAGAAAGTCATAAATATGCCCTAGCTAAGTCCCCACATTTCCACAGGTGATTTTGTACACATTTTGGTTGATGAGTCAGTCGAAGTTTCCTTCCCCACATGGAGTAGAATTCATGATTATATATAAATACATATTTACTTATAAATTTATATATAAATTACAATTTTAAAAATAACTAATATACCTTATAACATTTTCTGGCACTTTTCTATTAGATATCTCTCGTATATAAATCTTATTCTGTATCTTCCAGATCATTCCCACATATATAGCATTTCAAATGTGATAAAAAAAAAATGTGACAAGCTAGCTGATTTTGAAAAGAAGACAATGTCCTAAGAAACAAACGTATTGACTTTCTTTCTTGCTCTCTCTAATCTTCCCTTTCCTTTTTAATATTTTATTTATTTATTTTTTGTTTGGTTGGTTTTTTGAGACAGTGTCTCTCTTTGTATGCAGTTCAGGCTGGCCCATCAATACTCTTGCCTGCCTCAGCTCCAGTGGTTGGGATTACAAGTGTGTAACATCATACCCAGCTCTTCATTTTTTTTTTTCCTTTGACAGGGTCTCATGCTATGTATCCAGGCTGGCCTGAACTCCCTTTGTAGCCCAGGCTGGTTTTGAACTCACAATCCTCCTGCCTGAGCCACCCACTGCTGGGATTATAGGCATGTGCCACCAATTCTGGTTTCTTACTCTTATCATACTATATTTCAGTGCTTACAAGTCTATATACAGTTTATAACTCAGGGGTGCTCTGAGAAGAGTTTACTAACTTTTCCTTTCTACTTTAATACCCAGGAGAAATGACTGCTTCTTTTTTGCTATACTCTATCATATTCAAATTTCTATTACTGGATGCCATTTCTAAAACTTTCTATGTATATCCCTATCCCTTTAGTCTACAAGATACTCTAGCACTCTAAGTGTCTTACTCATCTTTAGATTTTGACTGCCTAACAGAATACATCTGGAAGTAATCGGTATAAATGCTTGTCTTTTTTTTTGGTACCAGAGATCGAACTCCAGTCCTTGTGCTTGCGCAACAGGTGGCGAAACCACTGAGCTAAATCCTCGGCCCTGAATGCTTGTCTTTATTCTCTTTTTTGTTTTTGGTGGTGGTACTGGGAATTAAACCCAGGGTCTCATGCATGACAGCCAAGTGCTTTACCACTAAGTTACACTCCCCAGTCCAGTAAATGCTTTTGGGGCGGAGAGAATCTTGCTATGTAGTGCAGGCTGTTCTTGAACTCACTATGTAGCCAAGGCTGGCCTTGAACTCACAGAGATCCTCCTGGGTCAGCCTCCCAAGTGCTAGGATTACAGGCGTATACCACCACACCCATTTAATACTTTTTAAATTTAATTAAACTAGAGGCTTATATGTTAACTCATCTGGAGTTGAAAGGTCGATTATTTCTTTTGAGGATGACATTTATTCTGTTTCCTCTCCTTTCTTTGGGATGGATAGCTATTAACCAAGCCAAAATTTTCAGGTCAAACTTGTATGATTGGCCACAGTGTCAATTCAAGTATGGGTAGGAACTAAAATTCTTACCTGAGTCATCTTCTCTAAGCACTTTCACATATTTTCTGTTCAAGCATCTACAGAGAAATATACAAGCTAAGCATTATGTAAGTACTTCCCTTGTCACTCACCTCCTGTAAGAACTTGTCAGCACAGAGATCAACTATCAGCACCTAGGGATAAAGGAACAAGGCAAGTTCAACCAGAGATCTTCACAGATAAACACATCAGGCACTGCCAGGCCAGAATGGGTGTTCTGAGGCTTGCAGGCAACAGGAACAGTTTCAAACAAAATTAACTCAAAGTTATAGCTCAATTAAAAGTTAACCCAAGAAAACAACAAATAAATTGCAAAAGAAAATCAATAATGGTATGTGCATCTACAGAGTAAAAGACACCTAAAAGGTTATTGCAGCAGAGCAGTGGAAGAACAGTCTTTTCAATAAGTGGTACCGGCATAGGTAGCTAACCATGAAAGAAGAAAGAAAGAAAGAAAAGAAAGAAAAGAAAGAAAGAAAGAAAGAAAGAAAGAAAGAAAGAAAGAAAGAAAGAAAGGAAGAAAGGAAGAAAGGAAGAAAGAAAGAAAGAAAGAAAGAAAGGAAGAAAGAAAGGAAGGAAGAAAGAAAGGAAGGAAGGAAGGAAGGAAGGAAGGAAGGAAGGAAGGAGAGAAAGAGAGAAAGAGAGAAAGGAAAAGAAAGAGGGAGGGAAGGAGGGAGGGAGAGAAAGGAGGGGGAGGAAGGAAAGAAAGAACGAATGAACTGATAACTCACATTTTACACAAAAAAATAAAGTACTAGGTGGATTCAGAACCAAAAGAGGCAAAATAATTAAGAAGATATTATAGGAGGATAGCTTCATTAAATTAATATTAAAAACCTTAAACAACACTAGCCATACATGAAAAGACTGACAATTTTAGCCATATTAAAATTTAAAACTTAAAAAAAAAAATTTAAAACTTTAGCTGGACATACTAGAGTGTCCCTGTAAGCCCAGCTACTTGGGAAGGAGAGGCAGTAGGAACTCAAGCTCAGGGCCAGCCTGGGCAACTGTTTTTTCTGTTTTGAGATAAGGTCTTGGTAAGTGGCCCAGACTGGGCTTGAACTTGTGTGGTCCTCCAGGCTCACTCTCCCAAGTGGCTGAGATTACAGGCATGTGCCATCATGCCTGGCTGAAGCAGTTTTTTTGAAATAATTTTTTTTTTTTTTTGGTACCAGGGATCGAACTCGGGTCCTTGTGCTTGCGAGGCAGGCGGCGGAACCACTGAGCTAAATCCCCGGCCTTTTTGAA